TAGACTAGACTATAAATTAGGCTATATAATAGACTTTGGACTATACAAAGTCGAAAAACCATGCTTTGATACTTTTTATAAATTTCATATCCGATTTAGAAGAAACAATACCATCACTAGCACTGCGTCTGCTTTAAATGCTGCCGCTGTCAATGCGGACGTTGCAGTCTCTACTCTGCTGCTCTTTTGCTTTTGTTGTGTATCGTTTTGTTAGCAAAGAACAGAATTCAAATCCATGAGATGTATGTATGAGTTGTAAATATCTAGATACAACATATGATACGGTGCGTTAGAGTGAGACAACATGCAACCCAAATGTACAACATGTGAGTAAAGTAGTATTAAAGTAATGCCATAAATCAACATTGCCAAGTTTACGAGAATTATGTTAAGTATAGGGAAATCTGTTGGAATCGTTTAAAATCAGTATCTTGTATCTAAATGTAGAGACAACTGGAATTGGGTAGGGTTCTATGAATCGATTTTTGAACAATCGACTATTTATCGAAAAAAGTGAAAGAGGAATAGTTCAAAATAACAAAGACGACAATTTCAAAATTTTAAAATGACAAAAAATTGCATTTTCATAATTTGCAAAAAGTGGATGGTTGCTTTCAATTATATAATCCAAGTATTGAGGTTCAAAACTTCCCAATAAGTTTTTTTGTAATTTTGGGCTTTTAGGAATCCCATTTTATGTATTCCCACAAATATCAAGTTGTTAATCATATCCCCCATCTCTAAACGTATGTTTAAAAAAATACAATAATGGCCGAGCATCCGGCTGTTTGTAAATGGTGGTGGTTGTTGATATTTGAACAAATGACTGTTCAACCTCACAATCAGAGCCACCAAATTGAGGACCAGAAACACATACCAACTAACTTGTGCAGTATATAATAGAGAACAAGTACATTTTATAAATCCACTCCAATCTTTTTTATATGCTGTTGTATATAATTTCAGTGTAAATAGATGAATTTGTTGTTTGTTGATTAATGGTCTCTCTCTATACAAAAAGTATTTGCAAATAGGATGTGAGTAACATTTGCTGTTTTATTTTTTAAATACGAATCAACATTTAATTAGTATACAACTTATTTAATTTATTTTTATTTTTTTTGCGTTTTTATTCTATTGATTTTTGTATTTGATTTATGATTCTTAACGAATATTTAACCAAAAAAAAACTATATAAATGGAGTTTTTTGCAATTAGAATGTAGATATCGGATTTTATTAAATACTTTTTATTATTTTAAATAATGAAGTAAATACATTTAATCATATTTTCGATTTTTCCTAAAGTGGTAAAATAGTCGTCCTTTTATGATGTTAAACGCAATAGGAAACAATAATTTATGTTTAAATGGTGACGACATAAGTAAGTAAAATCCCCAAAACCCCATATTTTTATACTTATTTTTGAGTAAATAAGAGCCCATAATTCCCCTACGTCCCACCAGAAAATTGCTTTAACGCTTATTCCGGCTTTCAAAGGACGGTTCAAGACAGCTTTCTATGAACCGAAACCTTTATGCGAAGTTTTATGAAAATCGGTATAAAGTTGACCGAAAAAAAATATATTTTTTAATTCTAGAGAGCTTATTGATATATATATATATATATATATATATATATATATATATATATATATATATATATATATATATATTATTGAAGACCCTGACGTTCATAATAATCTTATGATCTAAGGTCATATATAGGGTCACCTTCTGTAATTGACTTTATTTATTGTGGATATATGTATGTATAAGATTGGACATAGCCGAATATAACACTCTTACTTGTTAGTTTTACATTTTACAAGGACTGATATATTCAAATGCCAAATATGTCTGGATTCTCTCTCCGGTGCTGTTGCCATCTCAATAGATGTCATTGTGACAAAGCCACTTATGCTGGATTCCTGAACCCGTTGAGTATCTCTTACTCTTCGCGTAGTAGGGCGCCAGTATAGGTTGGGGAATTTTCAGGTTGGCACTTGGTAGTTGCCTGTCATTCCGTAGATCGTTCTTTATGGTCTGAGAATGGAACTGATGTAATTGGTGAACGATCGGGAAAGACTCCTCTGCCCGACAGGAAACTAGTTCTGATTAAGTAGACCTTTTACTTCAGGGAAGTTCTCCTGTTTCATGCTACGCGACATATGGTTGAGGTCCGTTCCCTCAACTCGTCGGGGCAATTATTGGGTTCGAATTGACTTTGGAAATTTCTACATGCTTTGTCGCATTATCTGACATACAGAGGGATCCTGATGTATTTGCTGGATATTTCGGGCTACCAAATACGTCTCTAGGTACTGTTTCCAAACAACAGAGCCATCTCAGTACTGTTGTTGCGCGGGCTTTAAGAAGTTAAGGAATGCACTGGAATGGGTCATTAGTTGATGCGGATTGCATTTTAAATAATGCAATCTTTCATGACATCATAAGGGTGGTCACCTTCCGGTTTACCGGAAGATTGATTTCACCTGATGTTGGGGCTTGTCACCCCCTTCTATTGACTTTAGACCAGTGATTGCTTTTTCCTTGTCGGGGTTTGCATTGGGATTGATCCCATGCTGCCTGTCATTCCGCAACTATGGCAAGAGATTATATAACTCGAGTTCTTGAGTGCTTGTATATAGACCGGCTCAGCCATGTACAAAAATTGCCACCAGAGTTCTTCATAGAGGGATTCAGGGGCGCGTGGTGGACCGTCTCTAGTCTACCCAGTGGATGAAAAAGACCAGCGTGAAAATTAGGACGTCATGACAAGTGTTCACGTTAAAGTCTCGACATTCGTGTCTGTCCGTCCGTTCGTCTGCCTGTCCATATAAACCTAGTGTGCCCTCTACAGATCGCAATTTTCAAGATAATTTGATGAAATTTGGTACATACTTATCTAAAGACGATGCCTATTAAAAATTGTTAAAATCGGTCCAATATTTCGGTCCATACAACCGTATCCTCCGAATGGGGCTTTTGAGTTTATAATTATGTTAAATGTTCTAGTATCTCAACAAAAATCGGCAAAACTTAGTTTTATATAAGTCTAAATGATAGTGCCGATGTTCGGTCCGCATTTAACCCTATCCCTCTTGAAGGTCAAAATTCACTTATAAACACTAATATGGATGGAAGCCTACATAAATAACTTTAATGTAGACGTTAATTTCTCTAACATATATGGGATAGGCCCGTATTTACCCTTACCGTCATATAAAGCCTCTTGTAAAAAATCTCTTTTTCTGGTCAAAAAATTATAAAAATATTTCGGAATTTAGGTTAAAAACAAATTAAATGTTTTATGTGTAGAGTTATCATATGGTCGGCCTTGCCCTACTATTCATTCATACTTGTCATAAATAAAATTGAATTAAAATTTTTAAATTTAACATAAAGATATTATTGCCACATTTTTTAAAGATTTCATATCATACCTCTATAGTGTGGAGGGTAGGAAGCAACGAACAGACATCTTAAAGTATAGCATCCCAGCAAAAACTTACATTGAAAAATAATGAGTTAAAAAGCTAAAAAAAGCCACTTTTTTAACTTATTACTTTAATACGTTGATTACATTGGAGGCAAATACTTACTGCGCTCGCTTACAAATAACTACTTATGAGTCGATTATGTATGGCAAACTAAACGTTGCCAGTTTCAAAATAAGATAATGATTCCAGTATAGAAATGATTCAAGTTTTCCAAAAACTAATTGAACAAATATTGTTCGCCCCTATTCTGTATTTCGATTACGTTTACGCATTCAGTTACGCTACGATCGAAAAAAAAGGTTGTCCAACAATAAACTGAATCGTAAAAAAAGAAGCAATTCCATTTCGTTTCAATACTTTACGATTGTGTGTATTCTGCTACGTTTTTGCAAGTTGTTCTTTATGTGGCGGAGAGTCGAGTCGAAATACAGAATAGCAAAGTTGCAAAACGGAGAAAATTTCAATTCGAATTGAAATGCAGAATCGGGGAGATTAATGAATAAAACATTCATTATTTATAAAGTTTCCAAGCTATTGCTTTGGCAACGCAATTGAGATACATAATCGGCCCATTAAAAAAGTACCAAACTAACAAATAGGGAGTAAAAAAGTTGTTTTGTTTTACGTACATAAAAATTGTTCACATAGAAAACGAATCTGGGCCTCTAGTTCGTTAGTTCGCTCTCTTACACACAACACAGCTGACATTTATATTGAGTAAGTATTCGGTTCCTACAATGTAAAAATCAGATTATATTCCTAAAGTTTTCATCAATATCATTTAAATTGTTATGATATAATAAAAACGAAATTATTATAACATGTTTATTAATATAGTTATTTAATAAATACCTTTTATCAGAAATCAATACCGAACGAAATTATAATAATTTTCCTTATTAAGCTTCTTACATTGGCAGTTAACATTTTCATCCTAATGTTTGTAAATAAATAACACTCTTTTGTAATAAAAAATCATTTTGCAAAATTCTTAAATGCTTTTTTTTAATTGTTTTATTCAATCAATGTGAATAGTTTATTTTTTCTTCTTTTTTTGATGCTTGTTGATTCTTTATGTTTTTCTTGTTTTCTTGTTTTTTTTTTTTGTATTTTATTTTATTACATACATTATTTGTTGGTTTGTTTTGTTTTTCTTACTAATTTTAAATTTATTTTAATATTTATATATGATCAATTAATTAATTTAAATTAATTACTTGTTTTTGTTTGCTTTTTTTCTTTTTTTAAGGACTCGTTAACAAGTCGTTATTTAAAAAAACTTAAAGTTTACATCTAAACAAAAAAAATAATAGATAATAATTAATAAAAAGGTAAATAATAATTAATAATATTTACTATATTTATATATATTAATAATATATGCATATACTTTTAGTTTCTGTTTAGGATTTATTCCGTATTAAATCCTTTGCTTTTTAAACATAATTGAGGGAAAGGAGGTTGTTTAACATTTGCCTGTTTTCAAACTATTGTTTTGAGTAAGTGATTTCGTTTTGTTTTGTTTTTTTTTTTTTTTAATAATATTTTACAAATATATCTTAAATGCTAAAAAAACATGTTTGTGGTATTTTTAGAATTCCTTTGTTTCTTTCGTGTTGGATTATTATAAATTTATTAATTTTATTTTGTTTTCACTAAATTGTTTTACTTGAATTTTGTTAAATAATAATTAAGATTTGATTTTCTTTTTTGTATTTTCTGTTAAGATGTATTTTTCTTTCAAGAATTTCTCCTTTTGTTTAAATTCAAATAAAATTTGCATACAATAAATATTGTTGTGTGATTTTTTTATCGGGGGTTAATATATATTTTGTTTTGTTTATTTTTGAGTTTCAATTAAATTATTCTCATAACTTATGATTGGAGGTAAGCCACGTAAGGCCTTCATATAAGCCATCACCAGTTGTTGCACAGGAAGGTTGCACATACCAGTTGCGATCTCGTATTCTAGTTAAGCCTAATTTTTCTTGAATCTCATGAGGTTTCATTGCTAAAATAAGAAGAAAACAAAATTATTCAAATATGTACATATAGACTAGACTAGTATTTTCCGTAGACTATAGAAGAGACTTTAGATTAGGTTATGGACTAGACTATAGACTAAACTATAAACTAGACTATAGACTAGACTATAGACAAGACTAAAGACTAGACTATAGACTAGACTATAGACTAGACTATAGACAAGACTAAAGACTAGACTATAGACTAGACTATAGACTAGACTATAGACTAGACTATAGACTAGACTATAGACTAGACTATAGACTAGACTATAGACTATAGACTAGACTATAGACTAGACTATAGACTGACTAGACTAGACTATAGACTAGACAATAGACTAGACTATAGACTAGCCTATAGACTATACTATAGACTAGACTATAGACCAGACCATAGACTAGACTATAGACTAGAATATAGACTAGGCAATAGTCTAGACTATAGACTAGGCTATAGACTAGACTATATAATAGACTATGGACTAGATTATAGACTAGATTATAGACTAGACTATAGACTAGACTATAGACTAGACTATAGACTAGACTATAGACTAGACTATAGACTAGACTATAGACTAGACTATAGACTAGACTATAGACTAGACTATAGACTAGACTATAGACTAGACTATAGACTAGACTATAGACTAGACTATAGACTAGACTATAGACTAGACTATAGACTAGACTATAGACTAGACTATAGACTAGACTATAGACTAGACTATAGACTAGACTATAGACTAGACTATAGACTAGACTATAGACTAGACTATAGACTAGACTATAGACTAGACTATAGACTAGACTATAGACTAGACTATAGACTAGACTATAGACTAGACTATAGACTAGACTATAGACTAGACTATAGACTAGACTATAGACTAGACTATAGACTAGACTATAGACTAGACTATAGACTAGACTATAGACTAGACTATAGACTAGACTATAGACTAGACTATAGACTAGACTATAGACTAGACTATAGACTAGACTATAGACTAGACTATAGACTAGACTATAGACTAGACTATAGACTAGACTATAGACTAGACTATAGACTAGACTATAGACTAGACTATAGACTAGACTATAGACTAGACTATAGACTAGACTATAGACTAGACTATAGACTAGACTATAGGCTAGACTATAGACTAGACTATAGACTAGACTATAGACTAGACTATAGACTAGACTAGACTAGACTAGACTAGACTATAGACTAGACTAGACTATAGACTAGACTAGACTATAGACTAGACTAGACTATAGACTAGACTATAGACTAGACTAGACTATAGACTAGACTAGACTAGACTATAGACTAGACTAGACTATAGACTAGACTATAGACTAGACTAGACTATAGACTAGACTATAGACTAGACTATAGACTAGACTATAGACTAGACTATAGACTAGACTATAGACTAGACTATAGACTAGACTATAGACTAGACTAGACTAGACTATAGACTAGACTATAGACTAGACTAGACTATAGACTAGACTAGACTATAGACTAGACTATAGACTAGACTATAGACTAGACTAGACTAGACTAGACTAGACTAGACTAGACTATAGACTAGACTAGACTAGACTATAGACTAGACTATAGACTAGACTATAGACTAGACTATAGACTAGACTATAGACTAGACTATAGACTAGACTATAGACTAGACTAGACTAGACTAGACTATAGACTAGACTATAGACTAGACTATAGACTAGACTATAGACTAGACTATAGACTAGACTATAGACTAGACTATAGACTAGACTATAGACTAGACTATAGACTAGACTATATACTAGACTATAGACTAGACTATAGACTAGACTATAGACTAGACTATAGACTAGACTATAGACTAGACTATAGACTAGACTATAGACTAGACTATAGACTAGACTATAGACTAGACTATAGACTAGACTATAGACTAGACTATAGACTAGACTATAGGCTAGACTATAGACTAGACTACAGACTAGACTATAGACTAGACTATAAACTAAACTAGACTAGACTATAGATTATACTATAGACTAACCTATAAACTTGGCGATAGACTAGACGATAGACTAGACTATAGACTAGACTATAGACTAGACTATAGACTAGACTATAGACTAGACTATAGACTAGACTATAGACTATAGACTAGACTATAGACTAGACTATAGACTAGACTATAGGCTAGACTATAGACTAGACTACAGACTAGACTATAGACTAGACTATAAACTAAACTAGACTAGACTATAGATTATACTATAGACTAACCTATAAACTTGGCGATAGACTAGACGATAGACTAGACTATAGACTAGACTATAGACTAGACTATAGACTAGACTATTGACTAGACTATAGACTAGACTATAGACTAGACTATAGACTAGACTATAGACTAGACTATAGACTAGACTATAGGCTAGACTATAGGAAGGATAGTTAGCATCTCATTTTTCATTATGTATAAGGCCGTTAGAGTTTAATGTTTATTTTCATTTAGAAACAATAAATTATTTTACTCACCATCCGCTAAATCTTGTTTATTAGCAAATATTAATATAATGGCATCTCTCATTTCTCTATCATTTATAATTCGATGTAGTTCTGTCCGAGCCTCGTCAATACGATCCCGATCTGCACAATCCACTACAAATATTAGACCTTGTGTGCCTACAAATGATTAAAAAAAATAATCAGTCAAACAGGAAAATAATTTTCAATGAAAAAATAAAATAAATATTGAAAACTGATCTTGATAAGAAAAGTGTAAAATAGTTTTGTAATAAATTGCATGAATTAACAATCGTCAATGAAAATACTAATTACCGGTATAATAATGCCGCCATAATGGCCTTATCTTATCTTGTCCACCAACATCCCAGACATTGAATTTGACATTTTTATAGGTGACTGTTTCTACATTGAACCCCACAGTGGGTATTGTTGTTACAGATTGACCTAATTTTAATTTGTATAAAATTGCTGATGTTAAGAAATCAAACAGAAAAAAAAGAAAGAAAAAAACATAAACGGATGCCATAAATTAATGTGTTTTAGTGATATACTTGTACAAAAGAAAGTAGAAAATGTTTTTATATTGCTTACTTGTTTTGCCTGCTGCATCCAGTCCCAACATTAAAATGCGCATTTCTTTGTTACCAAAAATTTTTGAAAGTAGTTTCCCCATTTCGACAACGACAATGATGCATCAATGGAGTTCAATTGAAAACTGGAAATAGAAATAAAACACATAAGTTGTTATGAAAAATTCTTATAGCAAATGCAAAATGAGAAATCAAGTAGTATTGAATGTAGAAATAGTTTTTTTAATATAATAGTATTATTTAGTGATTTATGATTAAAATTGGTAAACAGCTTTCTAGGATTTTCTATGCAATTTTTAGTGTGAAGAACTTTGAACGGCAAATTGTTATAAAAAGATTTTGGTATATTTATCTTTTTCAGTTTTATTTAGAATACTAGTAACGGGTAATTACAAATTTTAGGGCTCGGATTATAATCCTTGCTAATTCAAATTACCACAGAAACGAATCGTAACTTCTAGTATTGAATTATGAATAAACTTCAAGCATAAACTGCAAGGAACCCTAATAAAATATAACCGGATTATTTTCCGATAATAAATAGGTACCTACAATTACCAAAACATAATAATGGAATAAAACTTCCGTAAAATTTTGTCTAAAATTTGCTTGTTTCAGATCGACCAGCATTATTAAATCCTAATTTAAGTCTCGTGATTCGTTAGCAACTACATTAGTAACCAATCTACTTCGAAATGATTTGAAAGGGAAATATAATTAAATTTGTTTATCAATTTAAATGTATAAAATAAAATATTAGAAAGAAAATTGCTTAGATTTCGATCAATACTGTAGATTTGTATTTTAGAAAAATAACAAGTAATTTAAATTAAAATAAAAATAATTAAAAATAGCCCTAAACTGAACAATAGTAATGTAAAGGAAATCATTGACATCTACATTTTGTCAAATTTAAATTGTTTTATTAATAAAATCGATTTTTATGGCTTATTTAGCCAAAAACATTTGAGGGTGTTAAATTGGGCATTTTGTCAAAAGATAAAAAAAACTTGAAATAAAATCAATATTTAACACTAAATTATGCATTTCAAGTGCAAAATAATGATTCCTATAAAACACGTATCAATTTTGTAGGTCAATGAATTATCATTAAAGTTTTTTTTTTTTTATTTTTGTAAAAAGACATTTCTCTTCGTGTTTACATTCACTCACTTTCAACAATTCATCTCTAGATTTTATTGAATCTTATAATACTGGTACATACAACAATAACAACAAAATGTAAAAAACAACATAAACTGGATTTGTTGTTAACCAACCGTAAACATTACAACATATTGCTGTTGTTGTTATTATTAGTTTATACGATTACTTTAAACAAAAACAAAAAAAAAACTACAAAACATAAAATGAGCATAAAGTAATAGGAAATGAATAGTATAGAAGACATAGAAGAGAATGAGAGAGTATGAATGATGGATGAATGATTGAATGAATAAATAAACACACAAAACTTGGGGCGTGATCATCACCACACAACCGTCATCAATGACAGTTTTATTTTTCATCGTTTTTTTTGTTGTTAATTACAACAATAATGAAAAAAGCCACTACAAATAATAAATACAGCAAGAATGACAGCGAAAACTAAAATATGCAAAATATACAAAAACGCGTTGTTCAATTCCACACAAAACTCAAAACGAATGCTATGCTGGAACTCAGTCATTAACATTCTGCTATCAGAAAACCTTTTCCGGCATTCCATTGCTTTAGTTTAAAAAGTTTTAAGAACTCAGTCTTTTAGTTTTTTTTTTCGTATTGTTTTATCAGTCGTTCAAGGCAATTAATATTTGTTTTTTTTTCGTTTCTTGTTTTAGGCGTTGTACTATCAAAAAAAAAAAAAAAACACATACACAAACAGTAAATAAATCTCTAATTTGGCTTTAAAATAAAATTAAATTAACTAACAAAAACCAACAAAAACACAAATTATACAATAACTTCTTTTGTGGTATTTTATAGTTTTTTCGTTTTTTTTCTCTTTGGTCAACATAATCACTTTTGTAGCTTTTTGTTTGAAGCTAAAGCTAGACATTTTTTTGTTTAAATTTCATTTACAATTTATCATCAACATCATCAGTTGTAATGCAAACCTTGGCAAACACTTGGATTTACACGTCACACACACCGCCGCCACAACAATTTAGATTTCTTCTACGTTTCCTCACAGCCGCTGCCACACTTTTTTTTACTTGGAATTCACTGCAGTCATGCATAGGTTTACTTCTCTTCTTTTATTTGTCTTTTCGATTTTTTTTTTTCTATTTTCCTTAATATCTATCAACCGTTTTTTCACTATTATTGCGTTTTTCTATTATTAAACTTTAATTAATTGTGGCTTTTTGGCAAACTTCATTTCATATATCCACAGAAAAAGCGAAAAACTCGAATGTTATAAAACAAAATTACTCATTTCTCAATCAGAACGAAGATGAATTTTTTATTTTAATCGAAGGCAGAGGAATAACAATGATGCTATACAATGAACTTTTATAACCGAGTGTTCTAAAAGTGCGTACACAGGGTGTCGTCATATTGGGAAAAATATGTTAATGTTGCCAGAAAATGTCAATTTTAGTACGAATTTTACATGTGAACAGAGTTGATATTACTGGCATGTTGTCGTGTCATGCTTGCATGATAGTGATGATAATAAATATTTAAGAAAAATTAAAGAAATGGAAAAATTATTACTAAATTTAGCAGTGGTTTTTATATTGAAAAAGTTAATAGTAAACCATTGTTCAAAAATTTTTATATAGTAAAACAATGTCGATATTTTTGAACTACCTTTATGTTCGGTTTTCTTCACTTTTTAGCATGTTTTGTTTGCCCGGATTTCAGTCGCATACAAAATGCAATTTTTTATTTTTTTTATAACTTTAAAACTGTAAAATGGAAAAAGAAACTCTTTTGGAATTCTACAACAATTTGCATTTTAATTTATAATTGTGAAAAAAGAACCAAAAAATCACCGTAGCTTAGACCTTTTCTAAGAAGGGTATACATATATACATAAGTTTGTCGTTCCGTTTAAAATTTCTACAATATAATTTTCTGACCCTAAAATATGTGTAATATATTCGGGAAATTTGACTCAAAATTCAAACTCAATGAGCCAATTTTGATAAAATTTTTAAAATTGATATATGTAGTATGGGGTAACTCCGGTACCAAATTGGTAGTTTTTCGTTCTTTAAAAGGTACTTTTTGAGTTTTCCTTAATATTAAACCTAGAAACATGAAATTAAGCACGTAGAGCCGGAATAAATGAGAACCTAGAAAAGGCGAATTTTTGGTACTTTTTGAATATGCATAATACTTGCTATACCCAGTGTGCTTTGCTACCCTAAAATCAATGTAAAAAAAACCCTACTTTACGATTTTATAACATTTAAGCTCTAACAGTTTCCAGATATACGATTTTTATATTTGATACATAAGGGAGGTGCCAAGCTCCCTAATGGTAGTCCGCTAAGTTATTACCCAAATGTTCATATGGATGTCAGAGTTCCTCGTGCAAAATTTGAGGATTCAAGGTCTAACAGTTTCGCAGATATACGAATTTTTGTACTCAATTCATATGGGAGATGCCACGCCACCTATTTCTAATCTAACTGTTTTTTCCGAATATGAATTTCAATGTTGACTGTGCAAAATTTAAGAATTACACCTCTAATGGTTTCCCAGATTTACCAATTTTTTTTTTTTATTAAATTCATATAGAAGGTGACACGCCCCCTATTGCAAGTCCGCCCATTTTATTTTAAGGTGCCACACCTACTATAGCCAGTCCGAACATTTTATCCACACGAGGAGCGTGGCACCTATTGTTACTTCCAGACATATAGGAAGAATCTATAGACATCAAACAAACCCACAAACAAATAAACACACATTAATTTTTATATACATATGTATGTAGATGATCAAAAATTTTTCTTGATGCGAAAAATACAGAATAAAATATAAAGAAATAAAATAAAAAAATTTTAATGATAACTAATTAAATCTGTTTCACGCAAAACGATAAATTTTATGTTCAAAATATCCCCTACCAGCACTGTTTATCATATGACGTTTCCATCACAGCTGGCTAAATCAATCATATGTTTTGGAACACAAATACGCGGGAAAATGTCATGCAAACAACCCAGTGTTGCAATTTTTCATATATTCGCTGCTACAACGTCAAACGGGCTTCGTTTGAAGCGTCGGCAGCATCAACATGTCGACACCAAAATACATTGCTGCTTGACAAACCGTCCAGTACATCAAACATGTGTATTTTAAATGGGTATTGCTGTTGACGACCTTTCTGCCGACTGCGAACGAATTCTGCTGCTAGATTTTTCGCGCCATTAAAAAGCTTTAAGTCATTTGCTGCGGGAAAAAAGAAAGAAAAAAGAACGTAGTAGCACAATTGTTATTGAAAAGTGAAATATTTTTAATTTAATTACATTAGAAAACACCTTAAAGTACAAAATTATACAGAAAAAGACAAAAATAATAAAATGGAATCAGAGTTAAGTCAAGCATATTATGGAGTCTACTGTTCTTCGAAGGAAATTCTCAAAAATAACCAACGCCATTTATACTGCAGTGTACGTAGACAATTTTCTATATAATTTTTTTTTTGAGTTCCACTTTTTTATCTAGGTTGCATAAAAAATTTCTTGAATGTGTTGTGTTGTATTGATTTTTTCTGTATTTTTTGTTGCATTTAGATGTTGGATTTATTGACAAGCACCTGTAAGACCACAGGTTTGGTGGGCAGTAAGATTGTGAGCGATGAAATGATAGAGTTCTGGTTGTCGGACATTTTGCCCTTGATGTTCGATACAGACCGTGCCATACAGACCAAGGCTGTGGAGGCCTTCGAACAGGGCCTGGCCTCGATGGATGTCAGGACGATACACAATAGTAAACAGTGGACGGCGTTGAAGACGGCAATGTCCACACAACATGCTCCCAAAATACACAAATTGAGGGAAGAGCGTAATCGACATTGGCATCGGGTGTGGGGCTATATGATACGGATTTTGGATAAGGAGTTATTGAAGGGTGCCAGTACTATCAATTCATTTTTGTCCATAGTGGAATTGGGATTTCGCAGTACTGACAATACTATAAGGGCAGAGTCGTTCTTATGTTGGCGCTTGTTGATAGAAATATTCTCAAAATATGATGAACTGTCTTCGCCAAAACGTTTAAAATTGATTTGTATTCCTCTCAAGAGTTCTCAATCCAAGTCAGCACAAGCTGCAGAAGTCAAATTGAGAGTATGGTGGTATTTGTTGACATGTTTTGGTGACAAATTGGGACAATATTTTGACACGGTAGTGGAACCATTCTTAGTGTTTTGCTTTGGCGGTAGTAGTACGTCAACGAAAAGTGTTGTCTGTGCTGTACAGCAGTATGCTGTGGTCAGGGAATTGGCTATACCTTGTCTGATAAAATTGATATCTAGCGAGAGAAATGAATACTTGGATCGCTGCTTGAGGGATCATAAATTGGAGGCCTTAAATGCTCCGTCACCACTATTGGAAATGGATGTTTTGGAAAAACATTGGCAAGCTTTGGTAAATGCATGCATGGAAGCTATACGTCTAATGGTAAGTGTTAAAAGATCTATATTATAGATTTCTATGATAATATAAACTACTTTCACTTATTTTCACTTTCACTCTTAGGGCACTGAGTCATCACAGTCGGAAGTTGGTGAACAGCATCTTTTCCAAACACTTTTAATTCAAATTTTACACATGACCTTCCGCAAGGACATTGTACAACTAACCATCAGCATTTGTACTTCCCTTACAAAAATGCTAACAAATAATCCACGTGTGGTCATAATAGCTATGAATAATTTGGCTGCGGAGGGTTTAACATTGAAGAAATCAGCGGAAAATGTGGAAATGTTTCCTAAACTTTTGGAAGTATTTGCAAATCTGTTTATATCTGCTCGTTCAATAGTACCACCAGCTATTTTGCAACGCTGCGTTGACCAAGTGTTCTCTTTGGATGTACAAGAAACAAGTCGCAATAAGTGGCGCATGTTGGCCACTATGTTGGAGAAAATTATTGTTCTTAAAGACGATGAAGATTACGAAGCTTTCGAGACGAAATTGATAATATGGCGTAAGATTTCACAGGGTTTGTTGAGCCATTTGAGAGAAAATTCATTGGATGTGCGTGTAAAGGATAATGCGTCGCTAATGGATAAATGGATTCTATGGCCGGTGCAGTTGTGTGTTGGTTTTGCTGGACGCAGGTCCAATAACAGTTTCGATCAGGCCTTTTGTTCTTTGTGGCGTCAATTATTAAATGCTGGACAAAATTCACCCGATAGGCGTGTGTTCCTGAGCAAAGTGCATAAAATACTAAAGGAACTCTTGAATGCCCGTCATGAGGAATCAGCATTTGGTGAATTATTCGATGCTTATGTAGCAGCCGTATTAAAACTAGAAAGCGATAAAGATAATAAACAGCATCAGGAATTCTTTGAACTAATGCAAGACATTCTGAAGCAGCAATTACCTAAAAAACCTTTTGAGGCCTGCCTTAATACCTTGAAAAATGCCTTGGTGGGCCTAAAAAATACAGAAGTTAAACAACATTTTGATGCAATTAAGCCCACAATCGTGGCAGTGGTACAGTTAAATGCCAAAGGCTCTACATGTCCAGTGGATAACAAGTTTTTGGATGAATGGAAACGCAATGTAATGGATAAATTGCGCTCTCACCCCAATAAGGAAGTGTCGCAACAAATTAAGGAACTATTAAAAGGCAATAATGATGTATTCGTGGTTATACCTTCAGTTTGGAGCATGAATCCCGACAAACTGACGGAAAGACAAAAGGAAAAGATGTCTGAAAAGGCAGACATACCAGCTCTCTACAACGATATGAGTCAATCACAAGACGCTTCCTCTCTCAAACCCTGGACACCCAAGAAAATTGTAATATCCCAAAAGGATAAATCTGAAATTGTTTTAGAAGGACCAGAACATGAAGAAGTCATTGTTGAATCTGAAGAACCTAAAGTGGTGGTAGTAGAAAAGGTGGCAGAAAAAGTAGTGAGCACACCTGTCAGCAAGAAACAGTTAAGAAATCAAACAAAAACACAAACACCCACTAAAAAAGAAATGGAAGAGGCTAAGAAAAATGAACCCTCTGAATCGGTACGTAGTACCCGCAACTCTAAACGCCGTTTGTCCACCAACGATGAAGAGCCCAAAGAGAAAATTTCGAATGCTGATGACAGTGTTATCAAAAGAGTAAGGAAATCTGAGTAATTGTCCATAAATTCCATAAACAATATCTTGTAATCTTTCACTTTTAGCAAACTCGCCGTTCCGGTTTACGCAATAAAAATGAAAATAAGAAAATCGAAGACATACCAGAGGAAAAATCAAAAACTACTACTGCCACTGAAAAAGCACAGCAACAACAAACAGCAACAGAAGGCTTATCAAGTAAGTTTTGGTTAACATTTTACAA